CTACCGTATATGACACGGCGATATACGGCCGTAATACGGCGCATACCAAAACGTTAAAATACGGCCCGTATACGGCCGTAAATTCGGCGTATACGGCCGTGTACGCCATCGTAAACGGCCGTTTACGGCCGTATCTAGTCGTCGTAATGCTCGACCTGGGCGTATAACTGGAGCATTCAAAGTTGAGTCAAAACGATGACTTAATCTTGTTTCAAGTTTTTCAACAATTTCATTCATTAACTCACTTTGAAAAATGTTTTTGTTTTAGAAAGAAGCAATTACAACCACTGAAGCATTATCATCGATTTCAACTAATATACTCAGTCATACATCAACTGTTATTGATGCATCAGCTGTACCTAAAACACCTCCAAATCAAGCATCAAATTTAAGTGAAGCATTAGCTGCTGTTGTAACAGTTCCTACAAATCAAATATCAGCTCTAAGTCAAACAGTAAATTTAAGTGAAGCATCAGCTGCTATTGCAACAATATCTCCAAGTCAAACTTTAGTTCTAAGTCAAACATTAAATCTCAGTGCAACGTTAGATATTAATGATATCGACGCAAATAATTATTCAAACGATGATTTAAAAAATTTATTACGTGTCGTACTTGCTGAAAATAAAAGGTTAACTGATCAATTGAATCAACAACGTAATGAACAATGAGAAAATCAAGTACAAGTACCAGGAAATAAATAATAAAACAAAACAATTATGAAATGCTTGTTGATTTAAACTACATTACCTAAATTTATGTGTTTAAGTTTTTGTACTTCTATAATTTTCTTTTTTCTATTTAATCAAGAAATATATCTTTTCTGAATCTAAAAGCGACTAAATCTGCTCTACTAGGATCTTAGCCATACTGCTCATGAGAATAGACACAGGACATTTATACTTCTACCAATCAATCAAACATAAATTACTGCTATTCATAACATTACTATCAAAAGAATCAACTTAAAAATGAATTGTAATGATTTGACAACTATTTCTCAGAGTTCTAAGAAATATTTCTAGCCAAATATTTCATTTGTTCATAAAAAAGACTGCATGTGTTGTATTTTTGATTGCAAAGAAAAGAAGAAAAAAGCGAGGTATAAAAAATACATGAGAAAGACATATACACACGCATACATGTTTGCGTCTAAGGCATAGAAATAATCAAATAAAGATAAGAAAAAAAAGAAATTGCATTCTGAAGTTAAAAATGTATAATAATAATAATGTTTATATTTATTTAAATGAGAAGAAGATTAAATATTTAATATCACACATTAACTGAGGCTTCTATGTAAAACATTCTTCTTATTAATTAAAATGTTTTGCCTAGTATGTCTCAAATATTCGTAGCACCAAGTGACTAAATTTATAGTAAAAAGAAGAGAACAAAAAAGGCTCTATTGCACAACAATACAAGACAAAAAAGAAAGAAAGCGAAGCACGCTAGAGCACACGTCGATATAAAAAGAAATCAAATCATTTCGAAAGTTTACTAATAACACGAATTAATGCAGCATTTTCTTCTTTTAGACGTGCATTGTCTGCTTGGATTGAATCCTTTTTCTTTAAAAAAAAAGACATTAAATATAATAAAAATTTTCTTTCATTTACTTTTAATTCTTCTTCTAATTCAGAGAGTTTTCGTTCATAAGATCGCTTTTCCTATAATGAGAGAGATCAAATTTGATATAGATAACATAATTCTTACTCGTTTGTCAAGCGATGATTCAGTATATTGCGAAGTTTTCTACAAAAATAAAACTTATTTCAATTAATCTTCCTATTAAACTCACAAGTTTTTCAACAATTTGATCTCGTTCATTAATATCTCTTTCTAATCGATCAATTTTTTGTTTTAATTCATCAATTTTTCTTTTCGTATCTTCAAGTGGTTCATTAAAATCTTCTTTTGAATTAACTCCATTAACGGGTAAAGAATTTGTCATTGTTAATGGTTTTTTTTATGGTTCTTGACTTTGTGAACGATTTAATTTTGGTGTTGAATTATTTTCAAATCGAGATATAAGACCACGTGAACCAATTATTCCTGATTGTTGATCATCAGATCCTTCACTAGATGCTTTTGGAGTATTTCATCTTCCATTTCTACTTGTTTTTTTCCTATAAAATAAAAATGTATTAGAAAAGAAAGACAAAAGACTGCCTACATCATTCCAAATAAGTCTTCCAGTATCATTTCTTTGATTATCTACACAATTTCTTTTTCGTCATTGGTTTTGTGAATCGATGTTGGTGGGAAATGTCGAAAGAAGAAAATTTTGAAGAAAAATGGGAAAAGGAAAACGCAGAAAAGGAAAAGGCTGAAAAGGAAAAGGCTGAAAAGGAAAAGGCTGAAAAGGAGAAGGTCAAAAATGCAAACAGCTAAAATAAAAAGGATTACACCTGAATAAGTAATTCTTATGTATGAGCAATCGTTTATCTTCGTTCGATGTGGCAAATGATATCTCAAGTTGTTGAGTTTTTAATGAACTATCTTCAGAATCTAAATTTGAGATCATTTTGTATCTATTTAATGTTAAGAATTCTTCTTTATTCAATGGAGAACAAAATGTGCTAGCGAAAGAGTAACCAATGAGAATACAAACAATCGAATTTTGATCTTGACATCTTTAAATAAATTCGACGTTTTCCTTTTCTATATTTTTGCTTTTCGATGTTTTCCTTTCTATGTGTTTTTTTTGTTTTGGCGTTTCTCTCTTCGACATTTTCTTTTTCTATTTTTTTCGACATTTTTCCCTTTCAACATTTTCCTTTTTGACATTGTCCGCCGACCCCTTTTCATTTTTATATACAATCATATCTTCATGTTCACTCATATCTTTAATTAAATTTTTTAATTCAAATAATATACTTATAAGACAACCATTTTTTAAAACGGTCATAAACTTTACCAACTGTATCACTAATTGATGATGGCGTTGACATATTACTTGAATATGCATGTGTATGAATATAAATTAATTCCAAACAAAGTGAATGTAATTGTTTATAGACAAGAACAATTTCACGTTTAAACTAAAATAAATGTAAAAAAAATTCAATTAAATTATCATCTACTTTTTTTTCATTTTCAAGCATTTTTTTCTATGCTAATTAATAATTTAACTTATATTTCTAAAGATGAAAGAGATAATTTCAAAGATCCGAATGTCAATTGTGTTCTCAAACACTAATATTAAGTGTATAGTATGAACAATGCTTGACATTATGTAACATTACCTATTTTATTCAAGAACTATAATCGGTTAAAATCATCTAAATGTAAATTATATATCGATTGATTTTTCTATTTTATCTTTATTTTTCTCAAGACATAGGAAAATACTCAGGAATTTATCGCTACAGTCCCATATGGTTTCTACTGATTAATCCAAAATCTATACAAAATGTAATTAAATTTTGAAGTATTGCGTTTATGACATCAGTATTTGTTCTAAACAAGTACTTATTTGTGCTAGTTCACTAGTGAAATGATTGAAGCTATGAATCAGAGCTGGGCAAAATACTCGAAGTACTCGTACTCGAGTACTGTTTTATTGGTACTTGTACTCGTACTCGTACTCGAAGGAGTGATACTCGTACTCGTACTCGTACTCGAAGGGATGATAC